CTCGATGTACTTTTTACGTGAAATAATCGCTCATTTTTATTTCAAAGTGCAGTAACGAGTGCGTGTGCTGTCACACGTACTGTGTTAAATTTGGCTCCGCCCCTGTCGTGAAATGAATAACGAGTTTTGAAAACGTTGATAAAACTTTGTTTATTTTATTTCACTCTATAATTTATCAAGCGAAATAAAGATTATTTAAAGTGAAATTAATGTAAAACTTAAAACTTTTGCGACATTAAAATAGCGTACTTGATTTATTTGTTTTGCACGTGCTGTTTGGTGCTACATTGTGACGTCACGTAAACAATACTTTTAACGTCTGTACAGCGTTAACGACTGAATAAAAGATATTGGTGTTCGGATTCATTTTCTTAGTTAGACCATTTTCTTTCATTCTAGATAGTTTTCACAACAAAATTCGACAAAAAAAATGTTTTTATTTATCAGATTTCAAACAAAATGGCGCCTTCGATTTTCATTTTTGATACACAGCTTCCGTTATTCTGGTTCCCTGTCCAATTATGGTTCCCATAGACGTGCGCGGGTGACCAGTCTACACATCCGTTTTCAGTCAGAATTCTTCAGTTTTTATCGTTATCTTTAAATTCGAAAGGTTGCGATGTGTCCAATTTGGTACTTTGGACGAAAGTTTTCAAAACCATCACTTAGCAGGTACTCGCGTTACCGTAAAGCTCGCTTTGCGAGCAGGCCCTTCGGGCCAGCTCGTCGAGCTCGCTTTTAAAAGTGAAATAAATGTTAAACTTAAAACGTTTGCGACATTAAAATAGCGTACTTGATTTGATTGTTTTGCACATGCTGTTTGGGCCGCTACATTGTGACGTCACGTAAACAATACTTTAAACGTCTGTACAGCGTTAACGACTGAATAAAAGATATTGGTGTTCGGATTCATTTTCTTAGTTAGACCATTGTCTTTCATTCTAGATAGATTTTACAATAAAATTCGACAAAAAATTGTTTTTATTTTTCAGATTTTTCAAACAAAATAGCGCCTTCAATGTGAAAATACATGGGGAGATAATAAGAACGGAGAGTGCATTGTCGTAGAATAATGCATGCTTCGGGCCTTCTTTGTTTTTATAGAGAAATTTATGATAGTGTTAGAATGTTTTGTCTCTTCAAAAAGAGAAGGTAAATGTACATTTAATGAAATCAGGCAAAACCTATGTACGGGAAAAGTCGGTTAAAATAATCGTTCAATTTTCATTTTACATTTTCCGTTTTAAAACTGTCATTCGATATTTTATACACAGCTTCCGTTATTCTGGCTCCCTGTCCAATTATGGTTCCCATAGACGTGCGCGGGTGACCAATCTACACTTCCGTTTTCAATCAGAATTCCTCAGTTTTTATCGTTATCTTTAAATTCGAAAAGTTGCGATGTGTCCAATTCGGTACTTCGGACGAAAGTTTTCAAAACCATCACTTAGCAGGTACTCGCGTTACCGTAAAGCTCGCTTTGCGAGCAGGCCCTTTGGGCCAGCTCGTCGAGCTCGCTATTAATGCAAGGCCCATTGTTACAAAGTATCAGAATGAAATAATATGAGAAAGGCAAAGCCTCAAAGTGAGCTCGATTTTTCTTTTACCGTAAGATAGCTTAAAATAATCGTTCATTTTTATTTTACATTTTCCGTTTTAAAATTTTCATTTCGTTTTTTTTTTATACACTGCTTCCGTTTATTCTGGTTCCCCCTTTCTATTATGGTTCCTAAAATATGAAATTAGGCAAAGCCTATGAACGGGTAAGTCGTTAAAAAAATCCTTTCATTCTTTCCGTTTTAAAGGTGTCATTCGATAATATGAAATTAGGCAAAGCCTATGAACGGGGAAGTCGTTAAAAAAATCCGTTCATTCTTTCCGTTTTAAAGGTGTCATTCGGTATTACATGCACCGCTTCCGTTTTCACTCGGAACACTCGACGTTAATTATTTATCCGAAAAGTTGAGATTTGTTCCTTTATCGGAATACCCCGCCTATTATCATTTAGTTACATTGTAAATGGCGGCGCCCGACTAGAACTGACACTGAAAATTTCATTGATAGGTATAGAATTCTATTTATTTTTTAATTGTTTTTTATTTGATTTTCTTTTAAATATACACGTGTAGTCTGTAGCCGGGCAAGCCAAAGTCTTTGACTTCCCCGTATTACATACACCGCTTCCGTTTTCACTCGGAACACTCGACGATTATTACTCATCCGAAAAGTTGAGATTTGTTCCGTTATCGGAATACCCCGCCTATTATCATTGACATACATTGTAAATGGCGGCGCCCGACTAGAACTGACACTGAAAATTTTATTGATAGGTATAGAATTCTATATATGTTTTATGTTTTTTATTTGATTTTCTTTTAAATATTCATGTGTAGTCTATAGCCAGGCAAGCCAAAGCCTGGACCTGCTTTGCGGGCCCGTCTCCCGACTTCCCCGTATAAGTGCGCAGGACACCAGTCTACGCTTTCGTTTTCAATCAGAGTACATCTGTTTTTATCGTTATCTTGTAATTCGAAAAGTTGCGATGTGTCCAATTCGGTACTTCTGACGAAAGTTTTTGAAACCATCACTTAGAAGGTACTCGCGGTACCGTAAAGCTCGCTTTGCGATCAGGCCCTTTGGGCCAGCTCGTCGAGCTCGCTAATATAAAAATGTATGCAAAGCCTACGAATGGGGTTGTCGGTTTTAAAAATAGTTCATTTTCCCATTTTAATCAAATTAATGATGTCATTCGACCATGATTTGGTATTTAATGCACCGCTTTCGTTTTTATTCGGAATAGCCCGGGGTTCTATGATATCACGGTACTTAAGGTTTATAGGAAAATATACAAATAATATGAAATTAGGCAAAGCCTATGAACGGGGAAGTCGTTAAAAAATCCTTTCAATTTTCTGTTTTAAAGGTGTCATTTGGTATTTCATGCACCGCTTTCGTTTTCACTCGGATGTTTTATAGCATGTTTTATCAGTTTAAATAATCATTTGATTAATGTCATGTCCAATGTTTACAGAGGCATTGAAGGCCCATCTGGATGAGAATCATCACCGACAATGTTAAATACATGTACCAAGCAATTTTGCTTAACTGTTTCAATTTGTGATTGATACCGCCCATTATCGGCATAAACCAATCACAGAGTCACTTTTGCATGAGGGCAAATCAATCAATCACCTATACTGGTGAAATATTTTTTGTTTGTTCAGACAAAATGTTTCCCATTTGTCACCAGCTTAAGTGCTTTGGACATATTTTGTTAATACTTCATATGCAAGAAAAAGCTTTTTTAAATCCAACAATGTGTTGCAACAACTTCTGACAACTTGTTATTCATTTGAATTCTAAAGATAATTAATTTCTACATGTATATGTATATTACAGAGCAGTGGTGATGCATCAGACAGACCAAGAGGTGGTTTTGGGAAACCATCCATGCCAAAGAAAAAGGAACCTGTCAAAACTTACAAGAGAGCTTCAGATGTTAGAGATGAAGCAGAAACAAGACCTCTTAATATCGGAGACTTCCAAATGGCCATTGTCAGGGGCCATACAGACAGAGTTCAACAATACATGAACTTAGGTGACATATTTGAACAATTATTTGAATGTCTTATTTATTTTGAACAGTTATTTAAATGTTAGGTCCATTTTGAACAATTTTTTGAATGTTAAGTTTATTTTGAACAATTTTTTGAATGTTGGGTCCATTTTGAACAATTATTTGAATGTTGGGTCGTTTTTAAACAATTATTTGAATGTAATTCTATTTTGAACAATTATTTGAATGTTAAATCTGTTTTGAAACAATTCTTAAAATGTTTATGTCCATTTTGATCTTGTATTCACAGATACCATACCAAATATTTTAACTGAACTTGTCCATCTTTCAATCTGGACTAAACCATTAATCATTTATGAAAAAAGGGAAAATTAGAAAATACATATTGACTGAATTATGAACAGTGCAGACCATGATCAGATGGAACAAATGTGGCTGTTGATCTTGTTGTGTACCAATGGCATAGAATCTGTTACAGTCAGCAGGTAAAGGTTAAACCAAATCATAATATAACATGTATGCACTGTTTTAATGTAGCATTTAGGCGTTTAGAAATAAAATAGGAAAATGAATCAATTTCTTGCTACCCTATGAAATTGGCAGTTCAGTCAGTGTAAATTTTGTGTATATCTTATAAACTTATCTTGTCAACTAAGGAAGAGGATTACATAATTATCATACATTTGGTTGAATGAGGAAATAGTATTTCTTATATTATGTAAAAAAATCTCCTATGCAACATGTTGAGGAAAAATGTTTTTAATCTCTCAATGAATTCATAATCCATATTTGCTCTACACAAACAAAGTCCGGTACATTGATGTATATTTTAAGGGTTATTTTAACAATTTGTCTATCTTATGAAACAGGTTTCCATGTGGATACAGAATTGAAAAGTGGCTGGTCTGGTCTGATGTACGCAGCAAACAATGCCAACTCTGATATAATAAAAGTGTTATTAGACAATGGAGCAAATTCCAACTTTAATAAAGGTATATATATATCGTATGTATCTATGTTTAATTCTCTGAATGTTTACAGCAAAAAAAATCATTTTTGTTACCAATTAAAGGGCATGTCTTTTCGTAGTCTAAAAAGACTGTACATATGTAATTTGCTGCTCTTTAAAAAACATTAAATTTTACGCTGTTTGGTTTATACAGAATTTTTTTGATTTGGGATTGTGTAGGAAGCTATAAACTTATAGAAACACTTTTTAATTTCTTCTCCTGGAACCAACCAGTACTGAGCAATGAGTTTAAAGTTTCTTGCTGAAGGAAACAACAACTTGTCCCTGACAATGGTTTTGAACCCATGTGGCTAGCTATCATTGAAGCTAAGCCTCCATGGCTGAATAGTTAAGGTCATTGATTTCTAATAACTTGCAGCTCACTGCTTTGAAATCCTGCCTTTTCATTGTAGGAGTTATATAAGGTTGCTGAAATAATGTATGAGGACATGTGAGAAATTCTCTACATGTTAAGCTGGAAAATTATCATTTGACCTTGCTTAGCAAGTCTGCTGCTGTGTTTGTACATTGGATAAATTTTGGCCACTTCTACTGAATACTAGTATAAGAACCTCAGTATTTTCATCCTGAATTTGATAGAGTTGCAAATACTTTAAGCATAAATATCTAGAGCTACTGTCTACTTAAAATGATAGTTGTTATTTTGTGAGATGTTTAATTAAAGTTTTTGTGTTTTTATGTTTAGACATGGTAACAGTACTAAATGGCAGCTTGTGGAGCAGGAGGGTATCAGGAAGATGATGTGTTGGCTGTTTGTTGGAGTTGTTTGCTAGGTAACGGTGCTAATGTGAATGCCTACGACAGGTAAAATGCATGGTAGAATGTTGTGCTTGGCTTTATAAAAGATGGTTATGAAAATTTATTGTCAAATTTTTTTAGACTGCTTTAATGAAATTTTTTTTTTTAAACACTATGGTGTTTTCAAGCCTGTGACTGAAATGCTTTTCAAATACAGATAAAGGAGCTTAGCCCAGACGTCAGATGCAAATAGCGGGCAGTATTGTTTTAATAATAGGAACCCTTGGTCTTCTCCTAAGTAGGTTCTACCAGAGTCTTTGACACAGCTAGCTTATAGAAGTTTTTAATGATTCTTCTCAGGTGCTGAATAAAGTAATATAATAATATTATGCTTGCCACCTTCTGAATAATAAAATTTTATTCATTTGTTCAATATTCTGTTGTACTATAGTTTTAAGTATTGAATTTTCATGTTGTAAGAATAAAGGCAATTGTTGTTCTTTCAGATATCATACATCACCATTGATGTATGCTTCCAGGGAAGGCCGTGTTAAAGTTATAAAAAGATTATGTGAAGCAGGGGCAAATGTGAACAAACAGGACAACAGGGGCTGGACGGTAAAAATGTTTATCATTGATTTCCTTATTTGAATACCAGCTAGGCTCATGTGCCTTAGTTATTGTCAGGTTTTGTGGCACATATATGTTTGTAGTATATAGAGACATTTTTTTTCTGTGGAAAGCTCCTACATTTTTAAAGAGATTTCAATCAAACTTTGTCAGAACTATTGTCATGTAGTGCCTTGTCACATATTCACAAGGTTTATTATGTAATTTATTTTACAGAATTAGAAATGTAATATACAATGTACAGAGTTAAGCTATAGAAGTCTGAAACTTTTCTTACATTTTTGTGGGATTTTGAACATCTGTTCACAGAACTACATGTATTGTCACCAAGTGCCCTTCTTGATGTTTTTTTGCATTTTCATAATTTAATCATGTATCGAGAATTATGTTCCTATGATTTATTGTTTTAATACATGCCACTTTAAGGTCAGAAGTTTAAGGTAACAGTGTAAGGTCAAATGTTGAACCAGCAATTTGTGTCTGCTCTATATATCTTAAACTGCCTTAGGAATGTTATTGATACTTTAGTCAAATGTTTACTGTTTACCCCATATTGCAGTACTCTATTTTTATGCATTGTAAACTTTGATGTTATGGATGATACATGTTTTGCACAGTTTTTATGTACAACCTTTACAAGTTAATAGAAAAATTATTTTTAATTTAATCAAATGAATTCTCTTTTTGACAGACATAGTGGTGTGTATGTGAAACACTGCAATTTAATGAATTCTGAACCATTTATCCAGTCTGCTACAGGATTTTTTTGCCTCGTGAAAATACATGTAACTCTCTATTTTAATTGAAGTGATTTGTCACTTATCTCCCTTTTTCCTTGGCTAAGCTTGATAGCTGAAGTTGTTTTTCAGAGGTCAGTGAGAGATAACAAGAAAAAAATACTTTCTTTTAGTAAGTTGTTGTAGTATTTGCGATGACTTAAACAAGCATGCGTAACACCATGATGACTACATCAAAATGGTTTCAACTGTACGTCAAGCTATTTTATTTGATATATCAGTTTATCATTAATATTTTACTTTGATATATCAATATATAAAATCAATGACAGCCCTAATTTTTTGTAGGTATTTGTTTATTACAAATGTTTTATACATGATATTTTCATGTTTCATTAAAGGCGTTGACTTGGGCAGTGGTAAGAAAACAAACCCTGATACGCAAAGGGGTCGTTAACATTTTAAAACGATCCCCGTACAAAAATTTTTAAAGGACAAAATGTGATAGAATGGCTGAAACAAAATTTAATTTTCCCGGTAACACTTTTTGTTTTTTAAAAAGAAAGTAATTTACTAGGAAAATAATCAAATTTTAATAAAAAAATTTGATTTAATTTTAGCGAAAAAATTGTTAAATTTTTTTCCCTAGGCAAAAAAACATGAAAATTTTCCCCAAAACCCACTCTGCTGTCCTTTACAGGTAGTTTTCTTTTTAAGAGATTAGGGTTTCCCAAAGGAAAATAAATAAAAATTTTGAGGGTACACTTTTCTTTTTGTAAAAGTAAAAGTAATTTTTCATTTTCATTTTAACGATATTATTGCATCTCAACTAAAAAAATTGAATGCTATTAGCCAGTTTTTCAAAATATAATAAGAGATAAAGTCTTGTTCCTGACCAGTTTGCCAAATAAATTGATTATCATGTGTTGTACTTACCCAGTTTTACAAAATCAAAAATGAATATCATTATTGGTTTTTATCACATTTGCCAAATAATCACTTTATGAAGTTGAAAAATTTACATGTCTGTTTGCAAAATATTATTAAGTATGATTCCTGAACAGAGATACCCAATAAAAAATTCATCAAATTCTGATTTTAAGCCAGTTTTGCCAAATAAAGTATCATATCTGGCTCATCTGGAGTTTTTCAAATTGAAAAAAGAAAATGTGATGAAATAATGAGCCGCACCATGACAAAACCAACATAATGTGTTTGCGACCAGCACGGATCCAGACCAGCCTGCGCATCTGCGCAGTCAGATCAGGATCCATGCAGTTCGCTTTCAGTTTCTCTACTTGTAATAGGGTTGGTAAGCGAACTGCATGGATCCTGATCAGACTTCGCCGATGGGTAGGCTGGTCTGGATCCATGCTGGTCGCAAACACATTATGTTGGTTTTGTCATGGCGCGGCTCATATAAAGAAATGTCTTACATCAATATAAATTTTGATAATTGTTCTTGTCTTGACAGATGTTAGAAATATTAGAGGGTAAAAAACGTGAAAACAGTCAACCTGAAACATCAGTACAGGTACAAGATTCTAGCTCAACACAAGACTCAAGGTTAGACTCATCCTTTATCCTGCTATATATCTGAAATGGGCTTGTCCATCTTTAAATCTGGACATAACCATTCATTAAATTTAGGGACAATTTTAAAATATGTACTGACTGAAAGGCAAGAAGTATAGACCATGACCAGACGGCACAGATGTGACCCCTAGCATGCTAATGGTTAAAATATAATTTTCTCTCTAACAAGTTTTCTGTAAGTAGTTTTAATGAGGGATCATTAGTAAGTCATTTTTATTTGTAAAGTGTTATTTTCAAAAGTAATTTACAGAACCCATTTAAAAATTAATGGTTCACATTATGGCATAAAGTAAAGAAAAATTGCTCAAATTTTTATTAAAGCTTCTGTCACTCAAAAATTGAGTGTCATTCTGAATAATATTGATATCCTTAAACACCTTCATGTAAAATTTTGTGAATACTAAATTTTCCTGCTAAATTCTCAAGAATTTGAATCTTGCTATTTAAAAAATAATGGATTTTTTTTTGCCTCTGAACAACAGCTCAAAGGAGGCCTATGGTACAACATATGGAGATTTGGAGTTATTTCTATGTGGCCTTGACCTTAGTAATCTTGTAGATGTATTTCGACGTCAACAGATAGATTCAGCACTTTCCTGCGTCTCACTGATGAAGATTTGATCAAGGTAAAATCTAGCCTCACTACGAGTTTATTTGATTTGGGAATGAGAGTAAATAAAAAACTGTGGTCCTTTTTAACACAAAGTCATTTTATCTAGCTCCATGTTTCTGAGAAAAAAATGGAACTTTTGCCCGATTGCAGGGCTCCAGATAATTTTTTAGCGCAATGAGTATTTAATCATTGATTTTTTTGTGAATGAGTAAAACTTGAAATCTGAAATTTGGCAGGAGTATTTTTACTCCTTAAAATGTATGTGAAAGAGTAAAACATTTATTATGCTTCCATGTTTATTGCATTATCGTACTTGTAATACAAGATATGTCATTTCTTTGCTTTTTGGACTCCCTTGGTTAATAATCTTGCATTTTCCAAACGGCATACGTTTTATCTGAACTGAGGCATGTTTCTGTTGATCATACGTGGCAGCGCTAATTACTTCATTAATTATAACCTTCACAATTACTTTTTGGTTGATTTTTTTCAGCTGAAAATACGAGTCAATTGTTTTAACTTTTGACAGAGACATTGTACCGGATGTTTATGAAATTGCGTTAATTCCACCACCTTACTATACATACGATAACAACCGATGATAGTCGGAACTACAGGAAGTTATCGTTATACGTAAAAGCATTCATACGAAGTTAATTCCACCACCATAGTATACATACAATAACAACCGATGATGGTCGGAACTACAGGAAGTTACCGGTAGACACTTGCAAAGCATTCAGACGAAATTAAAAGAGTTTACTTTCGGTTACGTTTTCGCGAAAGAAATGTTGCTCAATGCGTAACCTGAATTTTATTTGCGTTTAAATACGCTTAAATTTTGTTTTCAATGCCTAAACGTGTTATTTCCATGCATAATTTACGCGTATACGCATCTTATCTGGAGCCCTGCCATTGTCAATACTATCAATATAATTGGTCTTACTGATCAAAAAAGAGTTATAAATAAGGTTACCTGCATTTTTTAATTGCATTCTAATTTTGATGGTGACATGTATTCCAAGTTTTCATAATGTTTTATAGAGAAAGGGTTAACAAGAGGAAAAATTAAGCTGAATGAAAGGCATAAATTCAAATTAATTTAGGATTATCTTCCCTCTTTAATGACTGGCAGTGAACGTGAATAACAAGGTTGAAGCCAAAACCTTTGAAAGTTTTTGAGAAAAGGAACTGAACAAAAAGGTTAACCAACACCAATTAGAACCTTGCAGAATTATGCCCCCTTTTCTATTTTGCTTTAAAAAGTTTTCGGGAGTTTTCATATAGACATATAGACAAAATTAAAACTGTTCAATAGAATTTCTTTAAACTTGGCATGTTGGCATGTTAATATGATAACTAAAACATTTTAAGCAAAAAAAAAAATTGGGGTCACCGTCATTGTTTTTGAGTTACCTTTTGTAACATTTTTCACTTAAAATGTTTCTGTTATCATATTCTAACAACATGCCAAGTATAAAGAAATTCTATTGAACAGGTTTAATTTTGCCTATATGAAAACTCCCGAAAAATAGCTAAAAAGACTGGTGTGTGCTGTCCAAAGAACAATCTTGTTATGACATAGTTTGGGCTGTTATACTAACTAGTAAATTATAATTTTGAAAGTAAATTGTGTGACTTAATAATTAATAAATTTGGTTAATTCATGAAGTGGTGCTTTAGCAGTAAGCATTGTTTAATGAAAATAATCTGTATACAATGTATATTGAAAACTCAAAATTTAGAGCAATAATTAAGATGTTAAAGATATCTTATCATTATAGATGGGTATAGACAAACTTGGTGTGAGGAAGAAGATATTAGATGGAATTCACTCAGTTCATAAGAAAGAATGGGAGAAATCTAGTTTACCTCAATTACAATATAACAGACAAGTTAGGTATATCTTTTATTAATGGTATTATATGTGTCTTTTTTGCATAATATAGTGGCGGAAAGAAAGTAATTTTCCAACTGATAAAACTGTTGAAAATTCCTATTTAGATCGGAAAAGTTCCTAATAATTTTAATGTTTTTCCATTATTTAACCAACTTAACTTTTTAGCTCACCTGTCACAAAGTGACAAGGTGAGCTTTTGTGATCGCTTTTCGTCCGGCGTCCGTCCGTCCGGCGTCCGTCCGTAAACTTTTACTTTAAACGACATCTCCTCATAAACCACTAAGCCAATTTCATCCAAACTTCACAGGAATGTTCCTTTGGTGGTCACCTTTAAAAATTGTTCAAAGAATTTAATTCCATGAAGAACTCTGGTTGCCATGGCAACCGAAAGAAAAAACTTTAAATATCTTCTTTTAAAAAACCATAAGAGCTAGAGCTAAGATATTTGGCATGAAACATCTTCTAATGGGTGTCTACCAAGTTTGTTCAAATAAAAGCCCTGGGGTCAAAATTGGCCCCGCCCCGGGGGGTCATTCATTTTCCCTATATGCATATAGTAAAAACTTAAAAAATCTTCTTTTAAAGAACCCAAACAGCTAGAGCTAAGATATTTAGTATGAAACATGTTCTAATGGGTGTCTACCAAGTTTGTTCAAATAAAAACCATCGGGTCAAAATTGGCCCCGCCCCGGGGGGTCATTGATTTTCCCTATATGCATATAGTAAAAACTTAAAAAATCTTCTTTTAAAGAACTCAAAGAGCTATGGCTAAGATATTGAGCATCAAACATGTTCTAATAGGTGTCTACCAAGTTTGTTCAAATAAAACCCTGGGGTCAAAATTGGCCCTGCCCAAGGGGGTCATTGATTTTCCCTATATGCATATAGTAAAAACTTAAAAAATCTTCTTTTAAAGAACCAAAAGAGTTAGAGATAAGATATTTAGCATGAAACATGTTCTTATGGGTGTCTACCAAGTTTGTTCAAATAAAAGCCCTGGGGTCAAAATTGGCCCCGCCCCGGGGGGTCATTGATTTTCCCTATATGCATATAGTAAAAACTTAAAAAATCTTCTTTTAAAGAACTCAAAGAGCTATGGCTAAGATATTTAGCATCAAACATGTTCTAATAGGTGTCTACCAAGTTTATTCAAATAAAAGCCCTGGGGTCAAAATTGGCACCGCCCCGAGGGTCATTGATTTTCCTTATATGTGTATAGCAAAAACTTAAATAATCTTCTTTGAAAAAACCCAAATAGCTAGAGTTAAGATATTAAGCATGAAACATCTTTTAGTGAGTGTCTACAAAGTGTGTTCAAATAAAAGACCTGGGGTCAAAATTGGCCCCGCCCCGGGGGTCATTGATTTTCTTTATATGTGTATAGCAAAAACTTAAAATCTTCTTTGAAAAAACCCAAATAGCTAGAGTTTAGATATTAAGCATGAAAAATCTTCTAGTAAGTGTCTACAAAGTTTGTTATCCCCCACCGATGGAATCGGGAGGGGGATATAGTTTTGGCGTTGTCCGTCCGTCCGTCCTTCCATCCGTCCGTCCGAATTTCGTTTCCGGAGTAGTTCTCTGCAACTAATGGCTGGAATTCAACGAAACTTTATGGGAATGTTGATCAGCATGTGAAGTTGTGCACCTGGGTATTTTCGTCTGGATATTTTTAGTATTTTTAGAGTTATTGCCCTTGACTTAGAATTTCGTTTCCGGAGTAGTTCTCTGCAACTAATGGCTGGAATTCAACAAAACTTTATGGGAATGTTGATCAGCATGTGAAGTTGTGCACCCGGGTATTTTCGTCTGGATATTTTTAGTATTTTTAGAGTTATTGCCCTTGATTTAGTAAAATTTTGTAATTTTCAACTTGTGTCGCATGTAACTCAAAAAGTATTTGACCTAGAGTCATGAAACTTTACAGGAATGTTGATCAGTATGTGTAGTTGTGCACCTGGGTATTTTCGTCTGGATATTTTTAGTATTTTTAGAGTTATTGCCCTTGACTTAGTAAAATTTTGTCATTTTCAACTTGTGTCGCATGTAACTCAAAAAGTATTTGACCTAGAGTCATGAAACTTTACAGGAATGTTGATCAGTATGTGTAGTTGTGCACCTGGGTATTTTCGTCTGGATATTTTTAGTATTTTTAGAGTTATTGCCCTTGACTTAGTAAAATTTTGTCATTTTCAACTTGTGTCGCATGTAACTCAAAAAGTATTTGACTTAGAGTCATGAAACTTTACAGGAATGTTGATCAGTATGTGTAGTTGTGCACCTGGGTATTTTCGTCTGGATATTTTTAGTATTTTTAGAGTTATTGCCCTTGACTTAGTAAAATTTTGCAATTTTCAACTTGTGTCGCATGTAACTCAAAAAGTATTTGACCTAAAGTCAGGATACTTTACAGGAATGTTGATCAGCATGTGTAGTTGTGCACCTTTGTATTTTTTCGTCTGGATTTATTTAGTATTTTTAGAGTTATTGCCCTTGACTTAGAAAATGTTTGCAATTTTCAACATGTGTCACATGTAACTCAAAAAGGATTTGACATAGAGTCATTAAACCTTATTGGAAAGTTGCTCAGCATATTTAGTTTGTTCCTGGGGTTTCGCTTGTGGATTTATCCAGTATTGAAGAGTTATTTCCTTTGACTTAGTAAAAACTGTTTCATTATGTTGTTATTTGATCCTTGAGTGCTTGAGTTAGAATCGACCAACTTAACAGGAATAATGATCAACATCACTAAATTACAGGAATAATCATTCACCTCACTGTGAAGCTATGAACCTGGGACTTTGCATGTGGATTTTTTTCAGTTTTGTTAGAGTTATTGCCCTTGAATTACAGTAGTATAAATTTGCAATTTTCAACTTGGGGTTTGCTTGGGGATTTATTCAGCATTTGTAAAGTTCTTGCCCTTTACTTAGTAAAAAGATTTTTAGTTTTCAAAAAATATTTGACCTAGAGTCATAAGATTGACAGAACAGTGGCGCAGTGGTGGCACCCGTGTCCTATGGACACATTTCTAGTTTTTATTAAAGAAGAATTAAAATGATTTGTTACAATAACATTTAAAAATATTTGAAAATTATGAGATCCCTTCTTGATGCCTTGAAAATGGCAATGAAGTCTGGAGATTAAGATGTTTTTACATCTAGGTGAGCTATTGTGATCCCCTACCGTCCGTCGTCGTGCGTCGTCAGCAATTTCTTTAAACAACATCTCCTCAGAAACAAATGACTGCACAGCAACCAAACTTTACAGGAATGATCCTAGGGTGGTCCCCTGCCAAAGTTGATCAAATGGTTCCGGTCTGTTGCATAAGTAGGTCACAGGGCCAGAAAAGGAGTTTCAAAAATGCAAAATTAAAAAATCTTGTCTGAACCGGTGTTAAATTAAGAAATAACATCGGCCTGAGAGGTGTATATCGGCTATTTAACACCGGTTTGGAGTTTTGATGCGTAGGAATTGACCACGAAGGCCGTAGGCCTGAGTGGTTAATTTTGTCGCATCAAAACGACAAAACCGGTGTTAAATAGCCGATATACACCTCTCCGGCCGATGTTATTTCGATTCTAACACGATAAAATAAGGAAAATCACTAATGTTATTTTTCAAGCGGAAATTACTTCCGGTGCCGATTTTCGTTATAACGCTGTTCGATTTTCGCACCCTACTGTTGCGAAGATATAGAAATTATCTAACAAAAGAAATAATAAGAAAAAAACCTTATTTTATCAAGTTTTCAACAAAAAAAACTTACGTCGTATTGTGTTTACATCAGTGCCGCATTTATCATTCTTGTATGCATGAAATAACGTCAGCTTGTTAATGAATGAGTTGTTTATTTAGGATGACGTCATAACGCTGCTTACGGATTGGCGCCGTTTTGTCAAAATATTTATTAACTGATATGGATCTAATATGTGGCGTTAGTGTATGTGAGATATTATTTCGGTATTGTATGAAAAGAAAACATTATACGAACTGAAAATATAAATAAAAATGCTTTTTATTGTTGCTTTAAAATGCTTTGTAAACTATACAATCGTGGGTGAAAATATAACAGCGAATATACAAGTAGTCCCTAACCGGTGTTTATTGGCAGTTTAACACCAGTTTTTTTTCTTCTTTGTCTATAGTGACAAAATCACGTGAGTGTTAGAATAGCCGATATACACCTCTCAGGCCGATGTTATTTCTTAAATAAAGCCTTATGTCTTCAGTTGTTGTGTTAATAATAACCAGTACTCGGCGGAGGATATAAATTCAACGAATTTGCTTGTTCAAATAAAAGCCCTGGGGTCAAAACTGGCCCGGCCCCAGGGGTGTCATTGTTTTTAACTATATGTGTATAGTAAAAACTTTAAAAAAATCTTCTTTTAAAAAGCCCAATGAGCTAGAGCTTTGATGTTTAGCATGAAACATCTTCTTATGGGTGTCTACCAAGTTTGTGCAAATAAAAGCCCTTGGGTTAAAATTGGCCCTGCAACGTTGGGGGGGTGGGGTGGGGGGTTGGGGGGGGGCTATATACAGGTGAGCGACCTCAGGGCCATCAGGGCCCTCTTGTTAATGTTTATATCAAAATTATCATTTATACTTGAAGATAAGAAGATTTTTGACAGGTTATTTGGCCAGTTATAAATGGTTATTTGCTTATAGAACCTGAACTTGCTGGGCCTATAGCATGAGCATATAGGTCTAGTTACAGCTTCATTCTTCTGTGGTTTTCTGCTTTGTAGTTATGTAATTAACCAATGTCTTTCATATTTTGTAGGCACATACCTTTATTAATTATAAAACTTTAGGCGGAGTTTTGGGTCATTAGGATCAAGGTGAAGATCAGTAATGCTAAAAATAGATAATTATAATTTTGCTTATCATATATGTGATATATGATGTTTAAAATAATTGGTATGTAAGTAACATACATGGCCTTTTTCCTATTTGAAGCATTAACAACCAATATATTTTGTTATCTTTGCATTGACTTGTTAATATTGTATAACTAAATGCGAGTAAAAATAATCTTCTGTTTTCAGTTGTGCTGAAGGTCTAGCAGTCATTGCCAACATATCAAAACATACCAAATATATCACTACAACAGTAGGCTTTCTACAAGATCAGTTCAAATCTAATCCGAAAATCCTCGACCAGCTTCAGGTAAAGATATTTTCTTGATTTTGAAGTTATTTGACCAACTCCAGTAAAATCTATATACATGTATGTATTAATGTCAATAAAGGAATACATGAAGTCAAATATAAGAAAAAATGTACAAACTAAAAGTGTAACTATTCTTTTAATGTAAATATCTTGACAAACTGGATGTAAACCTTTTGTTTTGATGTCTTAAAGAAAATAAATCAAATGTTTTTTTCATGATTAACACAGATTAATACATATACTTTTTATCTCAATTTTTATGGCCTGTTCAGGAAGTGGGAGAAATGGTTATAACTTCTTTCCTTATGTCCCACTTTTTTGTACCGAACATAACTTGAAGGTACTTAAGATATAAACTTGAAACTTCAAAGGAGATAAATCTCATTGAGGAGTGCAATACACAAGATTGGTAAATCGTACCTCTATAATTTATGATACTATAATTTACGAGTTAATGCTTTTAGTATTTTAAAAGTATAATTTATGTCAAGAGCTTTTTTTAAAAGTAATTGAGACATCAACTTGATAGGTTGGATGTCTAGATCACTTTGAGCAGGAGTGCAGTGCTCAAGAGTAATAATTCTACTTTATAATTTTTTACTTAATGCCCTATTTTGGTTTTCATGCTTAAATTTTATCTGTTGCAATATTCAAGAGGTATTTAAAATATCAGTTTCATTGAAATATCAGCTTGAAACTTCAAAGGTGAATAGAACTCACTGAGAAGGAGGGGCAATGCACAAAAACAATTACTCTCCATATCATGAGTTTAGAGTTATTGTACTTTGTTGATATTTTTATCAGAATTTTCTTATATGGATTGTAGCATATTTGTACCTGTTTTTTGATTGCTTAACCACATGTAACATCTCCTTACTGGAAACAAAATGCTATCATCAAGGTTTTAAACTGTCTTAAAGGCACATTAAGCCTTAGAAACAAATAAGTTTTTCCTTCTTTAGAAAAAGCAAACTTAAGTTGAATAACGTTTTAAAATCTAGTGCCAAATGTGAAATTCATTAGTAAAAGTAAAAGTAGCAAAATTGTAAACAAAACAGTATTTTGACTTTAAATACTTAATCACCATTGATATACTCATTGCTGAAACAGAAGCAAAAGAGAGATCAAGTAGTTGGGCAATGTATAACTTTGGAAACAATGGAAACAAAAACAAGGCACCCAAAATAAAAAAAAAAAAGCTTTTGAGAAATAAAAAATGAAAGCATTTTTAAGGCATAATGGGGCTTTAAAAACAATGTTTCTGATTATTTCTATAATATATGTAATTGTATAAAAGGAATTTAAAAGGTATATTACATAATTCACATACATGTACATGTATTTATGTTTTATTTGTCATTTTGTGAAGCACATTGTCTAGTTATAATATTTATTCAATAACAGGATGGGACAGGACCGAAACAGTTATTACAACACACACAAGATACTCTATATAACATTTCAACACTAGAGAAACAACTGCTCTCACTGAAATCACAATTAAATAAGGTAAGTTGTGACTTTTCTTTTACAGTTGAATGAATTACTTTAGTTAACGGGGCCTTCAAGGCTACCTCATTAGGGATAAACATTTGGCTTGCAAATGTCAGTACAAATTATTGATGCTCGACATGTTCTTCTGTGTAGGTTGATTTGTTGATTTATTTTACAAGAAAAGAGCCATGTGTCTTAGGAAAAATTCATGAGCAAAGTTTTGTTGAAAAATAAATTGATATGGTGTACTTTTATAGAATAAAGGACATAATTTTGTTTTCAGCCAGTCTTTAACTGATATACTGTACTGTGCTTGAGTGACTTAATTCTGAAAGAAATCATTTTTGAGTTTATGCCCAATTCAAACTAGAATTTTTGTTCTATTAAAGTGACATTATGCCCATCTAAAGGTATATAGTGAGTAAACAGGTGAGTGTCAAAATAAGTTTTCATTTTGTCATAATTCCTTTTGATTTAATAATTTACTTCGCATAAACAATAAATAGCGGCCTGATCCAAACGAAATTTATATAAATATCATTTAGAATTTACCTGAAACGTTCAATTTATAAAAAGAATGGGGCAGTCTTTTTATATTCTAGCCAGAGTTTAAATTTTATCCTAAACATTTTCCAATATAAACAGTTGGTCAAACATCATTTAAACAGTCAATCTTTGAAATATAAAGTCAATTCAGCTCAATTTGACTATGAAAATATGAGCATAATGTCACTTTAAGGATTCACGATGATTTGAAAACTATCAAAGCTATCAATGTGAAACTTGGAATACTTATTTATCATGGCAGGGACAGTTGTTAAACAAGTGGCTGTCAGCAATGATTTAGAAGTTTTGTCAATTTTCAAATAAGAATATTAGAGTATGAAAGTTCATGTACAGGCGAGTGTTAACACCTCATATTGTGCTCTTGTTTTATACTCTATTATGAATCATTTGAGAATTTTTTAAATACAAGTAATTTTATTAGGCCCTTTTTATTTTCAGACTTTAGAAACAGGCAACTATAACCCTCCAGATATATTGGACAAAGACAGTCAGAAAAAGATAAATGGACGGTCAAGAAGATTACCAATTCTTGTTGTCATGGCAACCACAGTGGCAGTTATAGTTTGGAAAAGAGATCTGTTATGGAATCAATTTGAAAAATTACTGCCATCTACCTAGCACAGATTGTGTCATTTTATGTTCTAGTCTATTTACCAATTTGTACAAATGTTAATTGATTTTGGCAGGCAGAAGATGCCTGTTCAGACAGATTATTTTAATCAATACTGAGACGGTTGGCCATTTTGTATAAGATCAAAATGTGAAATGTCTGCTTTTTGGTTCTTAAAACAGTAAATATCAGGACAGGGAGTCTGTTGATTAGGTTTTCTTACTTTGATATGAAAAAAAAACCTGGTGTGTATTTTTGAATTAAAGGTACATTAAGCCTCAGAAATTATTATCGTTTACGTTCTGTAATAAAGACAAATATATGTTTTATGATGTTGTAATGATAGTTTTATAACATGTAAGATGCTTATTATATGAGGAATAGAGCTTTTGTAAAAGATAGCAAAATGTTAACAAAGGTGTATTTTGACCTCCATACGAGATACTGTAATCAGTTTAACTGTACTTATTGCCAAAATGTAAAAAGAAGCAAGAGATTGTTTGTTTGTTTGTTTCATTTTACGCCTTTTCCAAGCAGTATTTCAGTCATATAGGAGGGTAGTTTCCTAACCATCGTTCCTGCAGAGTTACACCAGTACTAGACTACCTTCCTCTGTGCTTAACTACCAAAGCATCTCCCGGGGATCGAACCCACGCCAGAGAGGTAACTGGATAAGAAGTCATCGACTCTAAGCCCTCAACCACGGAGGAGGTCATAAGCAAGAGATGGCTCAGCAATATAGTGATTGAGTAGACTAGAAAACTGTGACAGGACACCAAAAATAAAAAGTGCAAAACCGATTTTTGCCACTTAATGGGCCTTTAAAAATAGTTTTGTTTTAATTTATGCTAAATTGCTGTTTGTCATGTAATAAAGTGTTATTGTCAGGCATTTTCTTAAACATTTGTGGTTTAGCAGTATCGAGATCAAAACTTTAAAAAGAATCTCATAACAAGTACATGTATAATAATTTTTTGTGTGATTTTGACCAAAAAAGTATTGTTCTTTATTAATATTAAAAAAAGGAGCAGTACTTTCATAAAATTTTAAGTTTGTTTAAAAATAATCTGGTATTACTGTTTCGACAACATTTTATTAAGATAGAAACAAATAAAATGTTTAGTTTCTCTGAAAATTTGAGACATACAAGTACTGAAAATTACATTTCTTATTTGTGTCACTGACTCTGCCTACAGTAGACAGAATATAATAGAGTGCCATATTTTCTCACTAAATGGTAGATGTGTGCTAAGGTTAGTGCAATAAAAAGTTATATTAATTTGAAGAATTAACAGAAGTTGAACGTGAGCATCCATTGCTAAGCTATTGCTACTTGCATTTCATTGATCTGGGGATGAATATTGTCAGGGACTTTGTATTATTTCATGTGAGGAAGCTAGCTCAGGGAAGAGGGGTTCTACTCAGTTGCCCCCCCCCCCCCCCCCTGTGCCTGAAGTAATGCATGGAGAGCACCAGATGTCTTCCATCTTTAGTAAAACTGGGAAATCGTGTTATAACCTTTATATTGTTGTAGTGACGTGATAAACAAAAACATTAGAAGTTGGACAGTTTTGTTTTGTCTTTTTGATTTTTTTTTATAATAGTCTGCACTGTTCTTTATTCAATCAGTACATATTATGAAATCTGATAAATGGTTTTGTCCAGGTTGAAAGATGGAGGGGTCCATTTAAGTAATTAAGCATGGAAAGAGTTGGTATGTTTATGTTAATATGAGTATTGTAAAAAATGAGCTGTTTTGCTTGACTATTCTCAGTGCTTGATAGTAAAACAAGAGCCTGGATAGTGTACTTTTCTTAGTTCACAAAGGGCCATAATTTTTTCAAAATCCATGGTAGAGTTATGGGCCTTGGATAGTGACCAATTATGCTGTCAAATGAGTATATAATATAAAGTTTCAACCCATTCCCTTCAGTAGATTTGAAGATACCAACACAAAAAGTTAATCAAAGTGTGACACCGGTGTGTGAGTTGGTACAGTATCTCTCCCCATTCTTTGAAGAGTACAGCTATGGAGACATCTTAAGTCTCAAAAAGGTTTGACAGAAAACATTGCTGCTTTTAAAGCATATGGTCCTCCATGGCTGAATGATTGAGGTTGCCTACATAAAACCACTTGCCCCACACCTCTGTAGGTTCAAATCCTGTTAGGGATTATTTCATGTGAGGAAGCTATCCAGCAAGGTTACAAAATGTGCGTGGACTGGTTCCTGCCTGCCTGAAATATAATGCACAGAGGACACCTTAGGTCATACTCCACCAGTAAACCTGGAAAGTTATCATATGACCTAAATACAGTGTCAGCTTTTTAAGTAGGACGAATGATATCTGTCTTCCCAGTTAGTAATAGATAATTCATTTGGAGTAGAAAATTGTTTGTGTTATTTTTTTAAGTTATAAAATAAATATTTTAAAATACATTATGAGGTTTTGTTGTTAATGTTTATTCCTTTATGAATGTGTGTAGTTCAAAGTTTTTGAAAACTTGATGTTTCAAGATAATCATTGTTCAAATACAGAAAATAATTTGAATCAGACTGTTTGACAATATAAAAAAAAATCATGTGTTATACTTTTGTAAATATTGATCCACGTTAACTTTTTGTTCCGTATGACTTCAGATCTGTGAGGTACATGTAATTTCTATGAAAACTTGAAAAAAATGCTATAAGTAAATGAGTAAAATGTTAAATGTAAAAGTTAAATTTTTGTTCTTGTTTTTTACCTTGCCTGGAGAAAACCACTAATAAACTTGTCAAAATATTCAGACATTAGCATTAGTAAAAAAAAGTATTTTTCATAATACATTAAAAGTTTCACTGGGATGTTGTTTTCCTTCCTTTAACTAATCTATGTACAATGATATTTTTTTCATGCATAGAACACGAGAGACTAGCAAGTGACAATGTTAATTGCACCAGTTAAATTCATGTTAGGGAAATTTTTATCCAGGAATGTCAGTTATAGTAAAGTGATAGATGTTTGATTTTTTTTTTTTTTAATGCGTTTATTTAAGGTCGCCGCCGGAAAGCCCATATGGGCGACCGTACACTCAAGCCGGGTCATCCTAGAGCATGCCCTTTGTTACTTTTCCATTGCTTTTTTTTTTGTCCGGAGCATAACTTGAAGACTAATGGTTGGAATTCAAAACAACTTCATACAATGATCAAGATCATTGAGAGGAAGTGTAGTACACAAGAACCTTAACTCCATCTTCACTAATTACAGAGTTATTGCCCTTTGTTTCTTTTCCTTTGCTTTTTTCTTGTTCAGAGCATAACTTGAAAACTAGTAGTTGGAATTCAATACAACTTCATACAATTGTCAAGCGCAATGAGAGGAAGTGCAGTGTACAATAACCATAACTCCATCTTCAGTATTTGTAGAGTTATTGCCCTTTGTTCTTTTTCTTTGTCCGGAGCATAACTTAAAAACTAATGTTTAGAATTCCATGCAACTTCATACAATGGTCAAGTGCAATGAGAGGAAGTGCAGTGCTCAAGAAGCGTAACTCTTTCTGGACTACAGAGTAATTCAATAAAACTTCATCAATGGTCAACCTCATTGAAAGGAAATGCAACATACAAGAACCACAACTATCTTTAATTGCCCACAACCATATCTCTATTTCAATTCTTTTGCAAGGTATTCTGTTACTAGTAACTTCCACATTTCCGAAGCAGTCTTGCGGGGGTATTCACATTTAGTGATAATTCTAGTATTAAATTTGTACTCATTCTGTTTGTCAAGCATTAGGATCTCAAAGATCCATCAAATCCACATCTTAATGAACTGGTTTGATAGTGTGATCCATTTGATATAATTTGTCAGATCATCTTCATTAATTGTGAGAGCTATTTCAGTTTTATGGGCATTTTATCATTATAGATAGCTGATTTCCCACTAAAATTCCAAGGTCAGAGACCTTCATAACAGATCATTAATACAAGGCAGTTTAAATCGACTGATGTATGTTAATTGCCGAATAATATCAATTCTAACAAATTTGCTCGTTTTGCCAGCCATTCATTAACCTACTGGAAACAAAAGATCTTGTGTCACCAGTATAGAGCCAGGCCAGTCTGTACATCTTTGCAGTCTGAGCAACTTTAAATTTTCATCTGGTCTCCGACATTGATAATGGCCGAAGCTGGACACATCCATTTAAGAAAATCTGTAAATAAAGCATTGTTTGAATTGGTTATATGTTTTCAGGAGTACAATAAACCTGAGCTTATGCAAATGCCCGAAAACTTTTACTCATGCTCATTAAAACATTGCCCTTAAATCATTGATTATCATGTATTGTATTTCCCAGAAAACAAAACGCAACACATGTAAACAGTTTGTTTTTTTATTGTTCTGGTTTTTACAGAATCTTAAAATCTAACAAAAAAATCTTTTATAATAAATCTAATGAAATGTGATTCTCTAAAAAAAGTTTCTAAAATAACACCATCAAATTGTTTGAAAATGGCAATATGTGAAGTTTTGAATTTTTATATGCAAGTACATAGTAATATCAAAGTACTTTGGTATTTCAAAAGTGACATGATTAAAAAAATGAATTATTGCAAAATTGACATGAATACCTAAATAGATAATATTGAAAACATTAATGGAAGTTTATTATATGATTTATGAAATATTTTCATAATTCATGAACTTCATTTCCTTATTCATGAATCATATTTCTTTATTCATGAAATGAGCTTTATTTCATAATTCAATTCATGAACCTTATTTTCTTTATTCATGAAATGAACTTTATTTTATAATTCATGAATCATAATTCTTTATTCATGAAATGAACTTTATTTCATAATTCATGAAGTTCATTTCTTTATTCATGAAATGAACTTCATTTGATAATTCATGAACTTTATTCATGACAAGAATTTTATTTCATCAACCCTTTTCCATATTTCATTTAACAACTTATTCTGCATACATATTATAGAATAATATCTTAAATTTGACATTTAAAGAGAAAATTCCCTGGACAGATTATCACAAACAGCATAAGCCTCTTTAGAACAAGCACCTGTGCTAATTAATTATAACTTTAATATACATTAGCACTCTACAATCACATAGATTAATATCAAACTCTACTCACAGAAAAAAAAATTGTTTATCTAAAATTGCACATATTCAGTATCAACAAAGATTTATTTTTTTTAAGTAGAAAAAAAATTCCAATGAAAACATCTATGTAAAGTTATACAGAATTTTCTTTTTATTCAATGAATGGAATGATTTGGTAAGAACAATGAAAGAGAAATCTTAAAATGTTTGTGTCTAAATTTAAATATTATATGATTTTCAATGAAAATAAGTGAGAAAAAAATGTGTTTCACAATGACTTGTTTTCAGTTTATTTTGAGATTACATGATTGATAAAAAAAAAATTAAGTAAACTTTAGCTGATAACCCAAGGTCTCAAATACAGTTTCTATATTTTTTTTCTGTTCTTTTTTTCATTTGTTTTCTATATTTTCTATATCTAAATCCATACCTTATTAGATAGATAATAGGTAATATTACAAATACAAAATAAAAGAATACAAATAAATCAAATACTATAATTCCGAATATATAATAATACAGCTCCTGTCCAGTTTAAAGAAACAAAGATATAACTCATTCAATTTTATGAATTTAAATGTAGAATGTTAAATATTAACATTATGTAATCTACAAAAATTTGGTTTAAACAAGAGTATTAAGCAAACAATCTTGAACAAATATTTGAGCTACATAGTTGGAAAAAAAAAAATGACAAAAATATATAATATCACAATCCAGTCCTTGAATCTGAAAATAATTATAGAACACTGCCATGGCAACTGCTTACTACAGAGCGATCATCGATTTATTCTTCTTGTAACTCGGTAGGCAAGAAAGGTCAAATCAAAGATTTTAGATTTGAAAATCACTATGGTTACAAGTCTAAAAATCATTATTATATGGCAAAAACACTAACTCACCTGATTTTGCCCCGACATTGTGATGATCACCTTTTCAGAAAGCCACACTGACATATCATCTCTTTAATACTTTCATTTTTACACAGATCACATACATGTTAAACACTTGACTCTGTTTTCAAAACTGAAAATTCTTCAAGCTGAGCACAAAAATGTTTACACAACTCGGAATTTTTATGGTGTAAAACTAATATATTTTTATGGTGCAAAATTAATGTTTTATCTGAAATTGTTTTGTACCAAAACTAAATCGAAAAATTAAAAACCGGGGAAAAGTATTTTTAATTCAGCACTGATCAAGCTCAATGTGTGAAATTGACGAAGCCTGCTTTTAACTTTGTTGTCTAAATTGTTGATGTTAACAGTCTCCGTATCAAAAGGCTATAATTAGATAGCTAGGCAGACGGATCTAATTTTATTGTGATGACAAAGGGAAGTAACTGCTGAAAAGTCAAAGCTGCCACATTTGTTCAGAGATTCAATACTTAGAGGATGGAATAAGTGTCAAATTGAAATGTCTGGATGTTTCATTAAAAGCAAAACTTTAGAGTTTACACTCTTGTGAAAGCAGAATAAAGTGTTCAACATGACATATGGGCAAGTCCCAATATATATACATGTATAACACAATAATTATTTACATAAAAAACCTGTAATGTTACCATAATTAAGATTTCCTGATAATATATGCAAAATTATATACACATGATTTCTTCAGCCCAAGTAACTACAAAATATGTCAAAAACGATTCAAACAAAACACTTGGCTTTGTTAATAACACTGGAGAATACTGTCATGTAATATTTCATTGGCAAAAACAGTTTTTATTAAAAAATTTAACAAATTATCGCTGACATTGCGTATGTAAGACGGGAGTAAAAATTAGTTTCATTTTGTCAAAACCTAAAAAAACGCCATGTTTAACATCTGGGTATAATATAAAGCTCACTAACATGCAATATATATATATAATAAACCTTTTTTTTTCTTTCTCAAGTATTGTTAAACAATTCTAATATTACTACAAGAAAATTTGTCAATCTCTCAATATAGTTAATAATGCACTATGTGTACTTCAGGGCTTTTCGGTCCACGGACAAATGAAATTAAAGATCAAACAAGGGAAGGGAGAACGATTCTAATGGTGCAGAATTACAGAGATTCATATGATATGTTTGTTTAATTGCTATAACAACTAAAACAATGTTACCATAGCAACATATATCGTATCAAAAACAAAATTTATCCACAAACTTGTCATCTTTCGTTATAAAAAATTTCTTATCTAAACGCAAAAATTTGTAAATTTTACTCTATACATTTGTATATTTATTCTATCATGGAATGCAGTTATGCAGAATGTGACTCTAGAATAAAATTGAAAATTACACGTTTTTATACACATGAAACAATTTTGATCAAGAAAACAAGTAATTTAGCGAAGAAATTTCATAATCATAATGACAGTGCAAATTTTCTAAACATATTAACAGTTATTGCAAAACATGTGAAGATCATTAAATTAGAAAGCAGTATACAATTAAAGTCATGAATAATCGGTATCTCAGTCTATAAGAAAACAAACCAGTCTACTGGTAAAAATGTGATAAACCAGTCACATCACATAATCTTGATAGCCAGTCTCGAATAAATAATGAAATCTGTCAGATATTGAGATATAACTGTGGAGTTGTGAATAGTCTGGTGATTTTGTCTTTTATTATTCTGTATTGTGATTAGTTTCAGGACAATCCAGTTGATGTGATACAAGTGAGATACATCCTAACTCCATGTGTAAATCCTCGATCCAATGATTGTTAGGTTTCCTAAACTGTGCTATTATTAGTACCTGCAATAGACAAAATAATGTGATTTAATATCCATGAAACACAAGAAATTTTTGTTTTGTTTTACGTCATGAAGACCTGATAAATGTCTTAAGATGACTTTTCCGGTGCAGGAAGACCACGGTGCCACTCAATGCATTATTTCAGGCAAAGGCAGGCACCAGAGTAGAACCACCAGCGTTCCTTAAGCTAAATGGAGATCTTCCTCACATGAAAGTGGTTCTAAGTCAATGACCTTAACTGCATTACCACAGATGCCCCAACAAAAGTATTTATTGTGCATATAACAAAACAACAATGAAACATTACATTGAGACTTAAATAGGTAATAAGAAGATTACATTTAGTAAATGTCATCATATTTTTTCAGCAACAACTGGGCACACATATGGACTGTTTCATAATGTAGAATAAATCAACATCATAAGGGCAAAGTGGATGTTGCAAGTAAATGGAAGTCAGCGATCATAAACCGAATTTGGTGACTGAGGTCCCATCATGAAAATAAAGTATATAATACCATACCTGTAATAGTTGGGCTTGAATGGGCCGGTCTTTGAGAGTCCGAGATATTTGGCTTGTTCATCAGTGAGCTCAGTTAAATGTGCATCAAATGTGGTTAAATGAAGGAGAGCAACATACTCGTCTGTAATATAAATATATATAACTATATAACCCCTGACCACACTAAATATCTTAAATGGACTGGTCCTTCTTTCAATCTGGACAAGACCATTTATCATTTTAAGGGAACATTTTTAAAATATATACCGACTGAACAGCCAAAAGTGCAGGCCATGATCAGACGGCACTGATGTTAACATTTTACAAAACATGCCTAGGTAATGAATAAAAAAAAAAGAAGAAAAAAAGAACAAAGATAAACATTTATAATCTTTTCTTTAAAATAGATACATGTACATGTATTGCATCTAATGAGATGAACATATGATGTTTATAGATATAACAATATAATATTTATATAATATAATGTCAGAATTGTACTTCTAAACAACAAATTGTCACAAACGTCTTCTTTTACTTTTTGACTGCTTTATAAAATTTATTTGATATCCAAATAAAATTTACCATTCCAGATAGGAAGCTTAGACACTGTCTCAGAAACAACGATAACTAAATGGTTCTTGTCACTTAACATGTCAAAAAACAAGGATAAAATTAATTGTTTCAGACATTCTAAAGTACCAGCTTGACACCAACGACAGTTAATATGCATTACATGAAATGACTCGAGATAAAAACATTAGCGAACATACCCATTTTCTTTGGTAAGAGGTAGACATCTTGCTTGTATCTGCCGGCAGGTGCATTATACAGTTCTATTAAAGCTAGCGCCTGAAATATACAAATCATTTATTTACAGATATATTCAAATGGCAGGCGGCAGGTGCATTAACCCATTACTTCATGAGCATTTTGTGAAAAATGGCTGTTTTCATTGAAAAGTCTCCCGTTACAAGTTCAAATTGCTATAATACTATAAAAACTGCTTCAACACTAATCAAACTTGGCACAAATGTTGACTGGACCAATTGCCCTTGCAAAACAACATGCTCAGGCCTTAAGTTTTCTGTTACCCATGGCAACGAGGGGACATCTCAAAATTGCCAAAAATCACTATTTTGCGTTGATTTTTTTCCATCATAATTGATTTCAAAGTGCTAATAACTTCTCAATGGATTGAGATAGAGTCAAATGCTTTTCAGCGTTGGTTACACGTTACCTTATGATCAATCTGAGGTCATTTATAGCCTTTTCACAAGTCGCAAAATTTTCTTGGAGATGAGGGGGACTCCGCCCCCTTCAAACCCCCCAACAGAAGGGGGCACATCCCCCTTCTGGCAACCCCCTGATGTATTCTTTTGGTTGGGGGCCGCGCCGAAAAGTGGTCACTTTTTTTTAACAACATTTCTCAAACAAAAAAAGTGTTGGGGGCCTAAATAAGGCATTTTTTCACCATTTGAGACAACAAAAGGGGGGGGGGGGGGTGGAAAAAGGCGAAAAGGGGGGGGGGCTAGTGTTCTGTGAAAACACCATCAATATAGCGGAATACCTCATTATGGCAGGCGGCAGGTGCCATTTTAAGCTACCTGCCTGATATATAGGATTCATTAATTCATAGATTTTCATATAGCAGACGTTCAACTTATATAACAAGTATTAACAAGTATGATGGCTATTTGATAAAGAATGTGCAAATCAAATTTATACGCTAGACAATACGTTGATATTTTATTGCTTAGATCTAAAGAGGAATAATAAATTTAAATGCGATGTAAGATTGATGCTTAGTTTTCCCAGAGAAATTATGCTTATTTACGCATAAATAAAACAGGCTTAATGTGAGGCATTGGTTATGTGGGGACAATTTTGACCAATGCTACATGTCAAATAGCAAGCCTTTAGGACTAATGTTTTCTGATAACCTGTTTTTAGTTTTATTATGTTACACAAGTCTATGTAAAAGTGGTGACCACCGGCTTGGGGTCAATTTTTCTCACAGAGGTAATATTTAAACAATCTTCAGAATACAATTTTGTTTCAAGTAAGAATTTAACTTTAAAGGGACTCCACTTAACAATTTTTGACATGAGGGTACTGAAAATATTTTTCTGTGATTTGATGTAGGTCTTGACCAATAACTTGTTTCAAAATTTTCTGAACATTTTCCCTCATTAAAAAGATTTTTCATCATTTTTATTGTGGGCAAAAGGACCAGAAAATGGAAATCCTTGTAATTGCACAAAAAAATAGGATTTTTCAACAATGAAATTTTTGAGCATATTGCTTTATTTTCTTTTTGGCAGAATTTTTCCGTCTTAAGTAGATCTACTTCACTTTGATCTATGTTAAAAATTTCAAATATTTTAATTTTTTTTAGGCTTTTTTGATCTCATGGGAGCTCCTTTAAAATTCCAACAAAATATAATTGTCTCTATCAATGTAACAATTTGTACTCAAAGACAAGGGAAATTTGAGTTGCTACTCCTCTATAACATTGTTTACAGTTCCAATAAAAAAATATTTCATTCTAAGACTTAAAATATCATCCAAAAACATAAAGACTATCTATTATATGAAGGAGTTGTTCATATGTGTTTCCAGTGGTTACCAGAAACATTAGGAAATGTTCAGAACAAATAAGCAAATAAAAGTGAAAAGCCACTAGAGAGTATATCTGATCAGAAGCTTTGAAGATATGAAGACATAAAGGATAATTGGTTCTACTGAATGCTTTGAGATTTTCTCTAATTGGTAAACATCAGACAATAACATACCTGAGTAACTGCTGTGATAGAAACAACAAACGATGGCACACTTGAACAACTCAAGTTTACAAGACGACCCTGAAAAATAATATACATAAACATTTTCTGTGATGTTTTTTATTTGTTTATATCTTACCATAAAATATATTTGCTTCCTTTGATAACCTTTAATTTTTAGCTCACAAATATTCTTCTTTTTTTCTCAAATCATTGATGAAAAAACGTGTCATAACCTAGAGGCCAGGTTTCATATAAGGAGTATGACTTGAACCCATGATCCTTGGGTTAAGAGACAGGCACTTTTACCACAAGGCCTCCACTCCTCTATCACTCACTCAAAGTAAACTTTATATGATGACCCTAAAAAAGTTCACAATTGTAAATATATGACCCTAAAAAAGTTCACAATTGTAAATATATCTTGTTATTTAATGTACATGTAACTTACCTCAGCTAACAAGATTATTCTCTTGCCATCAGGCCATATAACATGATCTACTTGTGAACGAACTTTCTCCCATGTCAAATCTGGAGTACGTAAACTATTCTGTAAGGTAAAAAAAGAATCATTCAATGTAACTAAATGTCAGGTCATAGGAAATATGGTTAGTAACTTCACTAACAATCTTTAAAGTAAAATTGGAAATTGATCCTATCTGTGCTTTGGAAATTATATTTCGGAAATTTCAGTCAGCTTATATCAAATGGCAGTTTTCACCTTAATCTACCTGTTGATTTATTCCTGTTGTATAAATTACTTTTATGTATTTTTATTATTACTATATTACTATTGTTATCGTTTCTTTTACTTTTGTCTAGGAAAATTTATGATTCAATGATGTTTTCCTAATCCAATTGAACTTAAATTTATTTATTTTTTTTTTTGTAAATTGTCATTTGAATTTTCATGGTGTATTTATTAGTATAAATATTGTTTTAAACAGGTACTATGTTAGTTTTGCCTATCTGTACATATTGCACTTTTTCTCTGTTATTGGTGTACTATCATATCATTTTTTGCTTTGTTAATCATAACTTCAATTTAATTGATCTATTTTAATAATATTTGTGTATATATGTTGTGTATATGTTGTGTACATGTAAACTGATTGTAATAATGTTGTGCTGAGGCCCACATGGAAAATCGGGAAACCGAATGTGTAAGCCTCGTTAAATAAAGTCCTAACTTACTTACTTTCTTACTATAGCCACTAGGTCATTAGAGGAAAGGCCGTTGTGTTAGTTATTCAGTACTGAGCAAAATGCAACAAAGAACCTGGCACATATTTTTATTTCTTGCCATAAAGTAAATGCAGTCTAAGCCCTCCTTACTTTATCATTGGATTCTGAAAACTTGTGTATCTTAGAAATTTACCGTACCTTCATAAGTGATACATTCAAAACTGCAACCCTAGAACTTAACATTATAATATCATGCTATTTGATACCTAACACTTATTACCTTTTCATTGAAGCATCTGAAATCTAAAAGAATTTGGTACTAAAATGTAGCAAACTATCTTTTCCCTTACTGTAGAAAAGTTTAATGCCATATTTATGAAATCATAAATACATTATACTAATTATCCAACATATACGGTTTTGATATAAGTACAGAAAGGTCAAAAAATGATCTTACCACATCAATTTCAGTATTGGAATGTCCCATATTACACACAATACATCCTGTCTTCATTCTGTCCATGTGTCCACGATTTACCACGTTCTTGTTTCCAGTACACGTGATTAACACGTCAATATTCTTAATGACCTCGTCAGCTCGTACAACACGAAACCCATCCATACTGCGAACAATAAAAATTTATTCTTACATTTAATTTCAAATGCATGTTACAATGTGCTCAGGCTTTAACAATTTGAGTTTCTTTTCTCTTTTCCCCCACTAAAAGGGAAACAATAAAGGCAGAAGAAGAACAATTAATAATGGTTTACAACATAAATTTTCAGAATGCCATTTCAAGTTTCTCTTCAATGTTAAAGCCAATAAAAAAGCCAAAAGAAAGCCAAACAGAAAGACAAAGTCAAATTAAACATATGCTTTATATCTTAAATCTGGAAAAACTAATAATCAATTTGAAGGGAAATATGTACAGACTGAATAGCGAACAGTGCAAACCATGAACAAATGTGCCAGCGCAGGTTGCACTGGTAAATTCACTCAAAACCCAGCAGAATAGAGGTTAAAGAAGACTGCCTTTCAGACTTATAAAGAACTAGGTCATAATTCATCTTGTCCACCAGATTAACTTGATTATTTTTTAAAGGGAAGATACCTGTATAATAAATCTAGCAAATGATTTTAGGAGGACTTACCTTGCCTGCAAAGCACAGATAGGATCAATCTCTGTTACCATGACAATAGCTCCTAAACCTTTTAATGCTGAAGCCACACCTTTCCCAACCTGGAAAATAGATTTTAATAGGATCTTAACTTTAAGAATGCAAAGGTCATAGTGGACTTTTTAGATTTAAAGTTGTAGGGAAAACTAAGGTGCCCCGCTACAAGAATATTCACCTTGTAAAATATGATCATTATTATATTGAAAAAGATCTTTTGACATTAAAACATTTATGAAATACAACATGAAAATACAACTTACTTATATGGATTATTTACAATAAATTATTCTTTAAAAATTATATACATTTGTATATAACCTATATGCTTGTTTTCGCTATCACATTATGTCATTGAACATTGTCTATTTCATAATAGAACACATTTCACAAGTAAACATGTAAACCTATTAGGTATTACTTTTTTTTAATGGAAAGCATGCAACTTTTTGTCAAACACATATGTTGGCCAATGATCATGAGCTTGTAGTTTGTCACATACTGTATAACATTGTCACATATGGTGTTATATTGTCACAAACTGTTTTCATTGACACATACTGTATTACATTGTCACATACTGTATAACATTGTCACATATGGTGTTATATTGTCACAAACTGTTTTCATTGACACATACTGTATTACATTGTCACATACTGTATTACAATGTCACATAATGTGTTATATTGTCACAAACTGTTTTCATTGACACATACTGTATTACATTGTCACATACTGTATTACATTGTCACATATGGTGTTATATTGTCACATACTGTTTTCATTGACACATACTGTATTACATTGTCACATACTGTATTACAATGTCACATATGGTGTTATATTGTCACATACTGTTTTCATTGTCACATACTGTATTACATTGTCACATACTGTATTACATTGTCACATTCTGTATTACATTGTCACATTCTGTATTACATTGTCACATACTGTATTACAATGTCACATACTGTATTACATTGTCACATACTGTATTACAATGTCACATACTGTATTACATTGTCACATTCTGTATTACATTGTCACATTCTGTATTACATTGTCACATACTGTTTTCATTGTCACATTCTGTATTACATTGTCACATACTGTATTACAATGTCACATACTGTATTGCATTGTCACATACTGTATTACATTGTCACATACTGTATTACAATGTCACATACTGTATTACATTGTCACATACTATATTACAATGTCACATACTGTATTACAATGTCACATACTGTATTACAATGTCACATACTGTATTGCATTGTCACATACTATATTACAATGTCACATACTGTATTACAATGTCACATACTGTATTACATTATCACATACTATATTACATTGTCACATACTGTATTACATTGTCACATACTGTATTACATTGTCACATACTATATTACATTATCACATACAGTTTTAATTTATCACATACTCTAATACATTGTCACATACTGTATTTATTACAATCATAATACATACCTCACCATATCCACAGACTAGCACCTGTTTCCCTCCAAACATGATGTCAGTAGTTCTCTTCAATCTGTAACATGTACAATTATTTCATCTAACATTGCTCCTCTTTTTAAATGAGCAAGAAAATC